TTTACAGCCGCCAAGTTATATAAATGCCCGTCCAGGTATATTAACGGCTGCCGAGTTATATAAAGGCTGCTCGGGTATATAAACGCCCGTCCAGGTATATTAACGGCTGCCGAGTTATATAAAGGCTGCTCGGGTATATAAACGCCCGTCCAGGTATATTTACAGCTGCCAAGTTATATAAACGCCCGTCCAGGTATATTAACGGCTGCCGAGTTATATAAAGGCTGCTCAGGTATATAAACAGCCGGCGAGTTATATAAAGACCGTCCAGGTATATTAACGGCCGCCGAGTTATATAAAGGCTGTGCAGGTATATAAACGCCTGTCCAGGTATATAAACGGCCGGCGAGTTATATAAAGACCGTCCAGGTATATTAACGGCCGCCGAGTTATATAAAGACCGTCCAGGTATATTAACGGCCGCCGAGTTATATAAAGGCCGTGCAGGTATATTAACGGCTGCAGAGTTATATAAAGGCCGTTCAGGTATATTAACGGCTGCCGAGTTATATAAAGGCCGTTCAGGTATATTAACGGCTGCAGAGTTATATAAAGGCCGTTCAGGTATATTAACGGCTGCCGAGTTATATAAAGGCTGCTCGGGTATATAAACGCCCGTCCAGGTATATTAACGGCTGCCGAGTTATATAAAGGCTGCTCGGGTATATAAACGCCCGTCCAGGTATATTTACAGCTGCCAAGTTATATAAACGCCCGTCCAGGTATATTAACGGCTGCCGAGTTATATAAAGGCTGCTCAGGTATATAAACAGCCGGCGAGTTATATAAAGACCGTCCAGGTATATTAACGGCCGCCGAGTTATATAAAGGCTGTGCAGGTATATAAACGCCTGTCCAGGTATATAAACGGCCGGCGAGTTATATAAAGACCGTCCAGGTATATTAACGGCCGCCGAGTTATATAAAGACCGTCCAGGTATATTAACGGCCGCCGAGTTATATAAAGGCCGTGCAGGTATATTAACGGCTGCAGAGTTATATAAAGGCCGTTCAGGTATATTAACGGCTGCCGAGTTATATAAAGGCCGTTCAGGTATATTAACGGCTGCCGAGTTATATAAACGCCCGTCCAGGTATATTTACAGCCGCCAAGTTATATAAACGCCCATCCAGGTATATTAAGGGCTGCCGAGTTATATAAAGGCCGTGCAGGTATATAAAGGCCATCCAGGTATATTAACGGCTGCCGAGTTATATAAAGGCCATCCAGGTATATTAACGGCTGCCGAGTTATATAAAGGCTGCTCAGGTATATTAACGCTCGTCCAGGTATATTTACAGCTGCCAAGTTATATAAAGGCCATCCAGGTATATTAACGGCTGCCGAGTTATATAAAGGCTGCTCAGGTATATTAACGCTCGTCCAGGTATATTTACAGCTGCCAAGTTATATAAAGGCCATCCAGGTATATTAACGGCTGCCGAGTTATATAAAGGCCATCCAGGTATATTAACGGCTGCCGAGTTATATACTGTAAAGGCCATCCAGGTATATTAACGGCTGCCGAGTTATATAAAGGCCATCCAGGTATATTAACGGCTGCCGAGTTATATAAAGGCCATCCAGGTATATTAACGGCTGCCGAGTTATATAAAGGCTGCTCAGGTATATAAACGCCCGTCCAGGTATATTTACAGCTGCCAAGTTATATAAAGGCCATCCAGGTATATTAACGGCTGCCGAGTTATATAAAGGCCATCCAGGTATATTAACGGCTGCCGAGTTATATAAAGGCCATCCAGGTATATTAACGGCTGCCGAGTTATATAAAGGCCATCCAGGTATATTAACGGCTGCCGAGTTATATAAAGGCTGCTCAGGTATATAAATGCCCTTCCAGGTATATTAACGGCCGCCGAGTTATATAAAGGCTGCCCAGGTATATAAACGACTGCCTGGGTATATCAACGGCCGTGTATATATAAAAACAGGTGCCCAGGTATATTAATGGCAGTCCAGGAATATTAACGGCTGCCGAGTTATATAAAGGCTGCTCAGGTATATAAACGGCTGCCGAGTTATATAAAGGCTGCTCGGGTATATAAACGCCCGTCCAGGTATATTTACAGCCGCCAAGTTATATAAACGCCCGTCCAGGTATATTAACGGCTGCCGAGTTATATAAAGGCTGCTCAGGTATATAAACGGCCGGCGAGTTATATAAAGGCTGCTCAGGTATATAAACGGCCGGCGAGTTATATAAAGACCGTCCAGGTATATTTACAGCTGCCAAGTTATATAAAGGCCATCCAGGTATATTAATGGCTGCCGAGTTATATAAAGACCGTCTAGGTATATTAACGCCCGTCCAGGTATATAAAGGCCGTGCAGGTATATAAACGCCCGTCCAGGTATATTAACGGCTGCCGAGTTATATAAAGGCTGCTCGGGTTTATAAACGCCCGTCCAGGTATATTTACAGCCGCCAAGTTATATAAACGCCCGTCCAGGTATATTAACGGCTGCCGAGTTATATAAAGGCTGCTCAGGTATATAAACGGCCGGCGAGTTATATAAACGGCCGGCGAGTTATATAAAGGCTGCTCAGGTATATAAACGGCCGGCGAGTTATATAAAGACCGTCCAGGTATATTTACAGCTGCCAAGTTATATAAAGGCCATCCAGGTATATTAACGGCTGCCGAGTTATATAAAGGCTGCTCGGGTATATAAACGCCCGTCCAGGTATATTTACAGCCGCCAAGTTATATAAACGCCCGTCCAGGTATATTAACGGCTGCCGAGTTATATAAAGGCTGCTCAGGTATATAAACGCCCGTCCAGGTATATTTACAGCCGCCAAGTTATATAAAGGCCATCCAGGTATATTAACGGCTGCCGAGTTATATAAAGGCTGCTCAGGTATATAAACGGCCGCCGAGTTATATAAAGGCCGTGCAGGTATATAAAGGCCATCCAGGTATATTAACGGCTGCCGAGTTATATAAAGGCCATCCAGGTATATTAACGGCTGCCGAGTTATATAAAGGCTGCTCAGGTATATTAACGCTCGTCCAGGTATATTTACAGCTGCCAAGTTATATAAAGGCCATCCAGGTATATTAACGGCTGCCGAGTTATATAAAGGCTGCTCAGGTATATAAATGCCCTTCCAGGTATATTAACGGCCGCTGAGTTATATAAAGGCTGCCCAGGTATATAAACGACTGCCTGGGTATATCAACGGCCGTGTATATATAAAAACAGGTGCCCAGGTATATTAATGGCGGTCCAGGTGTAGCTGGGGAACTATTTTAGCATTTTTCATCTATTACGTTACAAAACTCAGTTTAGTACAATACAATGTTACATAATACACCGTATAAACATTATTAATCCACCCTATTTAATAGTGTATATAAAATAGTACTTTACAAACTGTTCAGTCAGAGTAAACGAGAGTGATTGGATCAGTGCAGCTACTTGGTTTTGAGTTTGACACACAGTAATACAGCACATCACCGCTGAGGTCAAGGTGGTGCACTGAAATACAGTGACACCATGCGTATTGTCTAATCATATATTTTATTATACATTTACAAGAAGAGTACTTAAAAACCTTCTGGGTGTTAATTAAACCCTCATTCATCCTTTTAGATATTGACTGGTTTACAGGGGAGCTGTTAATCGAGGTTAACGAGACATAGTTAAACACATTTGTCAGTAATTTTTAATTTAAATTTATACTCGCTGTTCCATTAATGATGACTGTCTTCATTTAAAAAGGAATACACGAGCTGTAAATCTGCCTGTTCAACAACTACAGCTCCCATCAGGCATTGGTGGTGGTACAATAGTTCACATGTTTCTACAACACCGAGTTAAAGTCTCCCTCAACACCTCTGGCTGTAGACGATGTGAAAAATATATTTAATAAGGGTCAAATCATTTTCTAAAAACAGGCTTTACCGATCGGTACAGTTGTAACTTCATGGTAGAGGTAGAAAAAGAAAAGAAATCGACTGTTCTTCTGATCCTTCATTGTTGTTAATATGGCTGTTAATTATTCCATTACATATGTTTTTTCAAAACAGGCTCAACCAAACAATTAAGTTGTAAGAATAGTGTTGCTAAACGTTTAATAAAAAAAATTATACTTGAAAATATTCACAGTTATTAAAATGTTTTATTATATTTGATAAAAAAACATCAGTGTGATTGTGAGATGTTTTAAAAGTGTTGTAAATATGTAGACTAATATAATATATATATTACTAGCATCAAAACTTTTTACCAAATGTTAGAAGATACGTTTTTTGGTATTTAAATGTATTTGATATTTTTACCACGAATGACCATCTCAACTGAAGAGAACTTTATTTAAAACAAGTATTTGGTCTGTAAAAAACAAAGAAAAAAAAAACATTGATTGTCGTTGTTTTTGCCCCAAAGAAATAAAAAATGCACATTAAGGCATTTGTGCCGGAGCTCCGTCGCAGCACCGCCCTTCTTCATTTCATCCAGCCTAACAGTCTAATGGATTTTCTAATTAAAGGTTTGATTTGGTCGCTTATAATGCTTTCTGTTTGCCTTTTAAAACAATGTGCAGGTACGCCATGCGTTTTAAATAGGCTAATTAAAAATCTGATGCGAAGTTCTTAATTATTTTTGGCGGTCGGCACATTTCACGCGGTCCGGCACCAATTAATCAACGCACTTAAAGGATTAAATGCTTGTCCTTTGTAGGAAACAATTGAAATATTGGACAGACATTTTCCCGGGGGAAGCTTGTGGGAACTTTTCAACTGGGCCTCATCATAGTTTCTTGTATCAGGACACCACATCACCAGAACATGTTCTTCTCATAAACAACGTGACTGTATGCCTGCAAAATCCTCCTTCCACAGAATAATGTGACAAGTCCGTTCAGTCAGAATATCAGGCTGCAGCTTTTTGGGTTTGACACACTTTGGCGATGTCGCCTCGGCACCATTTTATTTGCCAGTTCATGTGTTGAAGTGAAACGCTGTGAACTCACCCTCTTGATGTCCTTGCCGAAGGTCTCGCTGAAGCTGGAGCCGAGGATCTCAAACTGGACGTGAGAGTTGGAGCCGCCGTCCTTAAAATCCATCGTACCTGTCAGACCCGTGATGTTGCCCTGAAGAAAGAGAGAGAGGATCATCTGTAGCTGCTGTCTGGCAGGACGGGACACCTTTACTTTCTCCTAAACTTTATCTGACTCATTCTCCTGTAACAGTTTGCTTTGGTGTGGATGGGTCGACTTTTCCCAATGACAAACACATTTGGTTGTTTGCTTTGGAGGACTCGCAGCCGCTCGCACTGCGGCACGAAGGAGAGAGAGCAGAAAATAACGGCTACTTTATTAAACTGTATCTCATCATGTACCCGTTGTAAAAGAGGCCTTTGCCAGTGGTGTTAACTTTAATGTCCGTGCAGATAAAATATAATGAAGTGACAGAGAGAGGCAGAGAGGGAGGGATGAAGGGAGGAAGACGTTAGACGTATATTAAAGGAGGGTCAGAAAGAGTAATGAAGGGGGAAATGGTATAAGATGAAAGTGAGAGAGTGGAGCAAACTGCAAATGAAGATAGAAGAAGAAAATCTGGAAGCTTCATCGAGGCCTGCAGAGGTTTTCCTGTGGTGACCTTTGCTGCTGCCACCATCCCTTTACCTAACTCAATATCAGACTGCATCCCATGATGCTCTGTGAGCGGCTAAGCTGTGTGATATTGACATCCTCAACAGAGGGCAGAGAAATCCCCATGGCAACCAGTCCAAGAAAGACCAAAGCCCGATATAGATCCAGACCTAATGAATCATTAGTTTATTAATCAATGTTCCGCTTTATTTATTCATGCTTTCTGGCTCCCCTTGTTGATCAGCTGCCTTCATGATGGCTTCCATATGGAATATACAGCGGCAAACAGAGTGAGATGTACGGCGTGTCGCATAAAACATCATTAGAGCCCGAGTGAGCGAGCCGAATTCAGCCGGTGACCGTGTGGTGCTGTTCCACTGAAAGGCCACGGATGAAATGTCGTTTCATGACTTCACATCAGTTCATGTGGGATGTAAAGCAAGACTGAAGACACCCATCACCGCAGGCCGACGAGCTAAATGTTCGCCTGTCAGCCGCAAAGGTCGCGATCATTGTCACCTGCAGGAAAATAATGTTTGTTTTGGTTTGCGAGCAGCTCGCTACAAAGTCAGCGACGCTTCCGGTGCTCCATCTGTCGTTCAACAATGAAGAAATGTGACTGGACTGCGTCTCTCCTTGAACAACAGAGCAGTGCTTTCTGAACTCGGGTGTGTCAGCATGTCTGATTCTGATGGAAACTCTTGTTTGCAGGGGACACAAGGTCACGAGAGCTGCAATAAAAACATAAAGCTACCGACATGAAGCGGTCAAACCAAGCAATTACACTTATAGGAGAGAATTTAGCAAGAAAAAGGTCAATAACATGTAACCTGTCTTAGCTGTTTAAATGATCATTTCTGTATTTTTAAACCTGAGCCCTATATTTTGGTGTGGAAATGACTGATAGGTACAAAAGGTTTTGAATCCGTGCAGTAGATTGAGCCAGAAGCTGAGTGGCTGCAAGGTAGTTCTTCTTCGGGGCAACTGCACTCAGACTGTTCAGGTGTCTGACATCATCATGGAAAGGATCCCTACGAGGGACTCCCTTTGTTTTTAACAGGAAACTGAAGACTCGTGAGAGGCGAGTTGTAGCAGGAAGATGCCGGTGGAAACGAGGGAGAGGAGTTTGTCGTGTATGTAGAGGAGCTGCTAGCAAGACAAACTCCCAATAAACTGTTCGTCTGTTTAACCGAACCTGAGCTCAACCATTCGCTGAACTTTGGGAAAGATCAAAACGTCTAATATCCTTTTGTCGAAGTTCAGGACTTGAATCATTATGAAATCAATCAAGATGACAATGAAAACGAAGGTCCTCTGTGTACTTTTACATGTTTACATCTTCATTTCATTTTGTTCTCTTGGCAAACTGTTTTAGTCAGATATTAAAGTGATGCTAAAGTTTGCTCCTTCATCCAGACCTACACACACCTGTAAGAGTGAAAGTGCTCTGCTCTGTCCATTTTCAACTCCGTGCTCGTCGTCTTCTGAAAAAGTCATTTTCTATCTCATCACCAAAACAGGGGCTGGTGGAAATGTTTGTCGAATTCAAGGGGAGCCAAAAAATTTAATAACAACAGGAAATGTGGAGATGTTCTGCCCAGACTGCAGGAAAACAGCCTATATAAAATTCAAACTGTATAAATGTCTTTCTGACACAGCGGGGAAAAAGGTTTCTAAGTTAAATATGAAAAATGTTTGTGGTGTTGTGTTGGTACCTGAAGGGAAAATGTCTGTTCTTCCTAACTTGGGTGATATTTTTGTAGTTTTGTCATCCTGATTCCCACACTGTTTTACACACATTCATTCATTTAGCTGACGCTTTTATCCAAAGCGACGTACAATGTCTATACATGTCAGAGGTCGCACGCCTCTGGAGCAACGAGGGGTTAAGTGTCTTGCTCACTGAGGATTCGAACCCAGGTCTCTCACACCAAAGGCATGTGTCCTAAATCCACTGCTCCATCACCACACCCACCCTGTTTCAGTCACAGACGATGTATCTAAACCACACAGAGTAAAGTTGACCCAAACAGAAATGTGTGTAATGCCTCTGGACTTGCTCGACTGCGTTTCGCTTGGATTGGTTCACTGAGCTGAAATAAAACATCACTCCTGTGTCTCTGCCGTGTGCAGGTCTTTCACTGTGACAGCACACCTCGCGGTCCGTCAGGTCGGGTGGAAGCCATCTATTCTGAAGTCAGAATATGGATCATTAACAGACAAACAGTCGGATCAAAGGTCTGCATCAGTGCAGCGTGACACGCTGTATGTGAGCACGTTACAGGAGAGGAAAGAAAGATCACTAACGAGCTCAGTGGTTATTACTATCAGAGATGGTCAAAAAAACAAACGCTATTCCTGCTCTGAGGGACTCATCAGCACGGCTGAAGAGCAACTTTTGCCAATTAGGCTGTGAGAATGAGACTACAGGTTGTTGAGATGCACATCAGCGTTTGGACTGAACGGCTTTCTTGTTTCATGTTTCACCTGCAGCGTTTCAGGTCTGATTTCTCTTCTGTTCACAGAGAAGTTGTTTATTCTTCTATTTAATGTCTGTATAAATCTAATTTAAAGCTCTCCTCCACGTGCTCTCCTCAGTCTTCAAAGCTTTCTTTAATTACAATTTTAATAGAAAACAACACGTGCGCTACCGTTTTATGCCATCTTGAATCAGACAGGCAATCCGGCTCTTCTCTGTTTAAATGCTACAGAAGAGATCAAGGTAATTGGGTGAGCTAACGAGGAATCGCATTCAGGCTGTTAATCAGTTCGACAACCTTGAAAATATTAGAAGACTTTGACGTAGTGAGTTTGAGAGCTTATTTCTGCGGGGAATTACAAATTAAATATTTGTAGAACTGTGAACGATGTTAGTTATCTTATGAAATGGGATGGCTGCAGAGCACCGGAGGGGTCTGTAAACCGCGTGTTGGGGTCTGTTCTTGCCCTGAATGCACCGTGAGACTAAAGGTAGGTTCTTCAGGTTTGGTGTCAGAAAGCCTCAGTACCTTCTGGATGGTCTCTAGCATGGACCAGCCTCCGTTCCACGGCTTGGTGGACTTCCTGATGCAGTTGAGGCTGGCCATACTGTGCCACTTCCTGTCCTCCAGCTTCCTGTAGAAGGCGTTGGCCAGCATCAGCACACTGTCATACAGGTAGAGGTTCGACACCTGGAGAGGGGAGGAGACACGGGGGAAGAGGAGAGGCAGGTATAAACAAATGTGTTTTATGTCAGCAGCGCATAAAGATTGATCTCAAGATATCAAGAAATAAAGATGTCAACACAACCTTGCAGAATATCACGATCTGCTTTAAAGAAGTTGTCGCTAAAGCTCACCAGCAAATGTTTTTCTCCTCGTCTCTAACCAGCTAACGTTTCTACAGTTGGTTATTTGGATTTCATGAGTGCATTTGCATAAATAAATTGTAAAGAGAATGACTAGAAATACAGTTAAATAAAGAATAAATGAATGAAAACAAAATGTAGTGCAAGGTTTAAAGCTTAGCAAAAGTTTGCATGACACTTTTTACTACCCCCCTGGTAGTTTACTCTGTTTGTTTGTAGTCCAGCAGAACGCCGTTTTAAGTCTGGATTTTAAAGTCGGAGCAATTGTCAAATCTATTTGCTGCGTAGAAGCTAAATGCTTCTTCTTCATGTTTGTTTTGACTCTGGGGACAATCAACATACCGGTCCCTGAAGACCTGAGGGGTCTAGAAAACATTTCAGCGACGTACTTTGGCCCTAAACCATTTAGTGATTTATAGATGAGCAGCTGTATTTTGAAATCAAGTTTCTGACACACCAAAGTAAGGATTTAAGAACTGGTGTAATGTGTTGTTATACTCTGGTCTAGAGTGTGAAAAATCTTCTCTGCGTCCCCATTTCACACTATATAATAAGTGTAAACACCTTATTTCTACAAATAGGCGTCACATTGTTAGTTTGCTTGAAATAAAGTAATTAAAATGTTTGTACTGAGAGGACACTGGCAGGACTCTGCAAGGTAAACCTTGCAAAGGGAGACGTGTTCTCTAATGATTAAATAATTGGATTTTTATGTTGTAAGGTTTCCCTGAAGCTGGCTCACCACTCACACTGTATTTGAAAATGCTCTTTGTGCCGAGCATTGTGGGACGGTATTGAACATCAACAGCACACTGAAAGTGCTTTTTGTCTTTTACACAGCAACACGGTCAACAAGAGTGTTTCTTTCTGATTTTGAAAACATTATAAATGCATTTCAGATTTCAAGGTTAACACACACAAAGGAACACGTGTGACACAGCTGGGTCCCACATCGTCTGCTGGCTCTAAGCTAACACCATGAGCACTGCTGACACACACACACACACACACACACACAGGCTGGATGGCGTTCAGATGACAGTCAGCTAGTGTCGAGTCTGTCCACATGTGATCGCGCCGTCTCTCATCCTCTCCTCACCCTGCAGAGGAAACACACTGTGACACGCACACACATGCCCAGGCAGGGAGTAGAGACCAAATGCAGGGTGACAAATGAGCATCACTCTGTCCAGATGAGTACATCTGACTGGCATGAAGTCCAGACAGCACGCTGCCTGAGGCCGTGACACACACACACACACACACTCACAGATAAAGCATTTATGCTCTTTTGTCATGGAAATGAGAACACAACCCGGTGACAGAGACAGAAACAGGGAGAAAGGAAAAGAAAAGCAAATTAAACAATCTGTCCTAAAGGTACAAACCCTTTGTGTGTTGTTTACCAATCCACTGATTGATCTAAATGTGATTAAAACAGCAGCTCCAAAATGTAAAACCTGCTGCCGCTCCTGAACGCTTTGAGTGTTTGACTTCAGAGGCAACAGGTTTATGCAGAGGGCCAATAGCCAAACATCGTGTTTCCTTAATACAGAACTATTTGTCTTCTCTCCTCCTGACAACCAGATTTAGAGGAAACGAAAACAAACCTGTTCTCGTACCGACTGTAAAACTTTGATTAATAGCCCGGGCTTTTATTTGATAAACTCAATGAATTGGCCCTGCCTGTATTTGAGACAGGCCTTTAATTCCTTTTGCACAAAACTGAAACAGTTTATTTATTTCAAACAGATTATTACTTGTATAAAAGAGATCCAATAATATCAAATACACGTCAGACGGCTTATGCGCTTTTATTTTGAAGGCAGCAATGTAAGGAAAACAACAGCAGGGTGCAGGATGAGAAAAGTTAGCAGACGGAGAGCGACAGACTTCACGTGAAAAGCTGTTCTGATTCTTTTGATGGGTGGACCCTTCCAGACTAAAGGAAGATAAATAATCGGGAACATTCGGACTTAACAAAGGTAACGTCAGTCAGCACTTTTTCTTTTTCATCTCTTGTACCATGCCGGTTACATCAGTAAATCTACAAGAATCAGACTTTGGGGCTCGTTGTTTCCATTAAATGAACTGAACTATTAAATTGTGGAGAATCTAACCGATCTAACGATGTGCAGCGTGTCCACACTGACAGATTAAACATTAATATTTGTATTAACGATCTGAGCAGCTTAGAAGCAGCGAAAGCGGCGACACCGCGGGGTTCAAGAGGTTTAATACATCCAGAGAACTTCTATATAAAACCAGACCAGGATTCTAATGGAGACCTGCGTTTATTTGTCAAAATGTGTTCCCACAGCAGGCCAGGAGACGGGGCAGGCGGCTGTTAATTAAAGTTTAATGGTATGTCATGTGACGCAAGTCATCTATAAAACTTTAATTAACTTCAAATATGTCAACTTTGATTTTCATTCACACAGGACTCGACCCTCGGTCTCCTGAGTCAAGGTCCAGAGTTGACTTCCCTTAGCCAGATACTGCAACAGGGCTTTGCTTTTGTTTTCGAGAGCAGCAATCCTGCACCGCTGTTGTTATAATGGCGATCGATCTGTCTCTCAGGTGGAAGACCAGAGCTGATATAAACAGCTTTTAGCAGGATTTTGTAGTGAGGCGGTCAGGGAGAAACAGCACGTTAAGCTGCTGTGGTAGCAGCTGGCGCGCTAGTCGTGAATCGGTCCTGGAAAGCCAATCATAAGAAGCGGCAGGCAAGACGTGTTTGGGTTCAGTGATTCTTCAGGGGACTAGTCAAAAAATCCAAAGACAGGAACCTAAAGATAGCAGGCAGACAAGGTGGATGTGGAAGTCCTGACGGTTGGTTATAATCCTGGGTGGAGCAGAGGAGACATTCAAACCTCAAATGCCATTTTAGCTGGGAAACAGCAACACAGCGCCCTGATTAACTGGTGCCTGATTAATGAGGCAAACAAAAGGTAGTTGATGGTGCACTCATTCACTCTTTTCTTCAGCAGAAATCTTGACTATCTTCCCTGTTTCAGCTTTAATTCCTGGAAAACTTAACTGCTAGAAACACCAGCTCCTCCCATTGCAGCAGCATTATTCCCATTTGTTAACGGATGCCGTGTGAATCTGTCCGTGATGACAACCTGCTGACACGGTTTGATGGATGGACGCTCTCTCTCCACCATCAGGGAGCGGGTGACATCAAAGAACATTTAACCCTCTTTTGCATTAATTATTGAGTCAAAGGGCCCTCGTTTACCTGCCTCCCTGACGGATTCAGGTGAGAGGTTCAACGGAGGTCAAGGAGAATAAATTAAAAGGTGATGAAAGGATGGAAGATTTTTAGTGGTTGTGTGTGATTTAGGGAGAGGGATGGGAGAGGAACAGACAAAGGGAGGATGAACATGAGCAGACGCAAAGAGAATAAAGAGCTGAGAGAGAGGAAGAGCAGAGCGGACAAAAGAAAAGAATAAGATGGAAAACGAGACTGAAGATAAGAAAAGGAGAAAGAAAAAGGAGCACTGAAGTGGCTGCAAGTTTGAAAAGAAAAAGAAAACAGACAAAGGTGAGAGTGCAAAACAAGAAAATGAAAGAAGAGAAATGATCACAGAGAAAAGGTTGCGATGAACAAGGGAAAAGGGCCAGAAGAGAGAGAATACAAAAGGAGGACAGAGTGAACTATGAAAGAATAAAGGTCGACGGTTAAATTAGCTACAGTGACTGGAACGGTGAGAAAGAATAACACTTTTGAACTGAGAGATAAAAAGGAGGCAAAAGTAAAAGACAGAACACGGAAAGAGAAAAGAGGTAAGAGAGGAAGACAAATAAATGAAGATCTGTGTGTGACCTCGTCTCTGTGACTGTGATGTTGGCCATCTTGTCCACCCATCTCCACAAATGTCATAAAAAGACACAGTGCACAGTATTTGTCCATGTGAATTACAGTAATTGTTTGCTGTCTTTAAATGCCAACCACACACCACTGTGCTCATTAATAATACTCTAGTTAGGTGCTTCCACTAAAGATTAAATGTGAAGAAATTCTCTGGAATGAGTCTAGTCTGGGCTGATTATACGTATTTCTGATTAAATAAACTGAACACTGACACATAAAATCAGGAGCACTGAAGTGACTGTGGCGTCGTAAATAACTGCCACTGAACGATAAACTGTAGAAACGAATGAAAGCCGAACTAGAAGCCCGTGAAGGCTGTAACGCAACAAAACTGAGAGAAACTCACCTCCATAACTTTGAGGTTTAAGGGCTAATGTTAGCATATTAACACAACTACAGCTGTGCTGTCTGTTACCTTGACATGCATGTGAATGTTGAAAATGTGTAAATGTTCTGTTGGTGGTGCTTCATGAAAAGTCAGAGGATCACCAAACACTTTAGGTGTGATGAAATATATGACAGGAAAAACAGTTTATTCGTCAAAAAGTCCCACAAAGCAAAACGATGCAGGTGCTTTTTGAAATGCTGCTTACAAATTGGCCACCAGGTTCCCAAAAAGCTGCTATTTAAAAGGGAAAACCTGTCTAAGAGATATTTGTGTGATTTGATTAATATAATATGAGGGCTAACATTCTACACACTGTTGCTCCTATATCTCCAAGTCTTTTATATTGATTAACGACTGGTGAGGATGCCAACTTTAGCCTTTCTTTATCATCATGCACGACACAGAGTTAGCATGATATCATGTATGGAGTCATCAAATTAAGACGTGTGAAGAATTAAAGAGGTGGTATTCTGCTTTTTGGCTTTTCCCCTCTCCTTTATTTTTGTGCATGATATAGGTTTGCAAAGTGTCCAGCCCAAAGGGAGTTTCCATCTCCAAC